CTGGAGGGCTTTGAGCTTACCCGAATGCAGAGATGTGTATTGAACCTAACAGTGGTATGTATGTGTCTCAGATAATAAGGGCAGTAGCGTGTCTCCCGGAGGTAGATCAGTCGCTTGTGACTGCCCTCGCGAATATGACAGAGAAGGCTGTGAAGAACTCGGCGGCGAGGCCAGCTGACACCCAGCAGCTTGCCAAGCATTTAGCGAGGTTGCTCATCAACCGAGCGAAGGTCAGTTATCTGTTGTTTTATTTTTGTTAGTGTTTTCCCCTTAGGCGTCTGGTGCGATCACTGGACAGTGCATAGCTACAGCAGGAGGCGGTTCGGTGAATCTTTGGACGACCCTCACGGATCGAATCGTTAGGGGGCAAGGTGAGACGGTAGAGTTATTGATATACTTCACAATATTGTCTCAGGTCCGATATCAGTACCTGGTACGATCAAGGCCTTGATGGCGTTAGGGACTACTCATGACTCAGTAGGTTGGGAGATATTGTTGCCGGATTCTCTTGCTTCAGCTTCTCGGAATACTTCGTTTTCTCTCAATTTGCTACTAGTTGTGTGCTCTGCTAATTGGTTACTCTTATGTTCGAGTAGAATCACGACGCATCTCAATCATACAATGTACAAAGTTCACCTCACCCTGTTTTGCCATATCTCAGTTGGTCAGTAAGCGCCCTCTTACTAAGCTGGAAAAAGCATCAGATGTTGAGGAACTCGCTGAGGCCATTGCACTGGCGACTGACCCTAGGTATAGTTGAATGAGTTGCATTGGGTATTGTCGATCTGTTTATAGGTCTAATACGTGTAAGAGACTTTTTGCTGAGAAGCGGGTGTTGTATGAGACGGATGCAAAGGCGATATTTGCAGTGTTGTCGGCAAGTGCTGTTACTGGTAGTATCTCTAGTAGCTCCGCTGTGGAATATGCAATCGTACTGCTTGCTACCACTTTGAATCGATTTTCCTCTTCGCCAAGATGGATCGTAAATCTTACTGTGTGAAATGTTGTTCTTT